TCTCTCTTCTTCTTTATTTTTTAAACTTTTGTATATCAATCCTCATTTTGTTTCTATTTTTTTTATCTTTATACCTTACCTCATGAGAAACTTTTTGCGATAGGTAATTTGAATTGATTTAATTAGCATTGAACTTATTTTTATGACACAATATTAATTTATATATTAGAATGTAATTTGAACCGTATTTTTTTATTAGCGTTTGAAAAAAAAACTTGATTAATAATTGATTATCATAGGTTGAACATTGAAGGTTTTGCTTTAAAATATTTGTCATATAACCCGACAATTAATATGAAAAAATTAACCCAAGAATAATAAAGGTAAATTAATCTAGTTAAACAAAGAATATATAGTATTAAGTTACTCTTTAAGCAATTTTTTTAATGGGAGGCACTCTTTCATGAATTTTCTTTCTTTTTGTTTTTTGCAATTTGTTCAAATATATATATTTAAATTAAGTATAAAAATACTGAATCTAAATCAAACTTATTTTTTTGTGAATGAAAGACCTATTCGAGTTTACCATAAACTAACTGAATCGGCCAATCATTCCTATTCGGTCTTTGTAGCTAGTTGTAGGTATACTTTGTGGTGTACGCATAAATTTTTATGGGTGGTGTCAACATTTGAAGAAGTGAACCAAACAAATTACTATAGTGAAAAACAATTCCAATTTTTGTATTTATACTCAATTTTTTTATTTTATTTATTAATTATATATACATATCTAGTAAAATAAATCGGTGAAACGGTGTCCCATGACACCGCTTGATGTTATGTATATCTGCCCCTGAATATATTGTATACATAAAGTAGTGGCACCCGTAACCTCCGAATCCTGGATCTGCCTCCGGATGAACAAATCACTAATAATCCTAGTCAAGAAATTGATTATAAATAAATTATTAATAATGTTACATCTCAAAAAATTAGAAAAATAAATTTTAAATAAAATATTACTACATGAGTTTTTTAATACCGAAAAAGTTAGGGCCTCGTTTAAGTTTGATTTTGTCCCAGACGCCGTTGGGCCGCCCGGTATAACCCCCAAAAAATCTAATTTTTTATTATGATATTCGTTCAGAATAAATAGCATATAAAAGATTCCCCACTTGCAAGAATCTCAAAAGTAGCAGACTTTATATTTCCTTCGTCAGTTGGCTCCTCTTATTCTTCTTCTTCACCTTTTTCTGGGGCTAAAGTGCACAACAGAGAGTAACTAACAATGGGAAGAGGAAAGTTTAAGGGAAAGCCAACTGGTCGACGCCAGTTCTCCACTCACGAGGAGATGAGTACGTTTTGTGTATTTACGTTTCTTTCTATGTCAAATTTAGTTTTTAGATTAACTTTTGAGATCTGAAATTTTGTGATTTCTTTCTTTGATTATGCTATTGGAATAATTACCCCATTTTGGTCTCAGTTTTTGTTTTTATTTCTAGCATGAGTGAAAGTTATTTCGTATGAACTGTTTGGTTGGTTACATGTCGATTAGAGATTGAAATTTGTGTAATCAGGACTTTTTGAGTTTTGCTTTGAAATTTTTCGCTGAATTATTTGAAAAAATTGAAGTAATTTAGCTTACTCTAGGTGGAGTTTTAAACTGTTTTGGTTATCAAGATAATTGCTACTCTCTCCATTTCAATTTGTGTTAATGTGAACGTATTACTATTTGGATAGTTGAACAAAACTTTCTTTGACCACGCTTTTTGCAAATACTTTTAAATATTTTGAATTATTAACTATTGTGACTTGACTTATAGCACTTTTTATATAGTTTCTAAATATGTAAATTTTATTTCAAAAAATATAAAAATTCTATGTCCGAATTAACATCGAAAATTAGTCAGTTTGAGCCTCGTATTCCGCAAAGTTTCACACTGAAACGGAGGGAGCACTGTTCTCTATATTCGAAGATGTAGATACTGTAGATTTTAGGTGGATTGTAACTTTCAGCTGTGGATTACTTATTCACAGGGTGGACTTAGTGTACAAGATATGGTTCATCCGAACCTGGTAGCTAGGGTCAGACGCTGTATATGTGTTAAAAAATTCACAAAAATAAGTACAAATAATAGATTTTGAACCTAGTAAATCAAATGGACTTTAGAATTTCAAATTCGAACCCATAAAGTTCAAATCTTGAACCCGCTGATGCTTATTCATGCTGATTGATTGTTGAGAATGGCAAAAGGAAAAAAACAGGTTTGCTCTAAGTAGAAAACTGTGACAAGGAGAGCATAGAGGACAGTTTGACTCTTACTGTCCTAAAGTTCTAAGCTGGAGTGCTGTTGTGCGATTGTTCTATTGTTGGGTGTTTGTATTTCTGAGAGCTAAGTTATAGTCTATGTACTTTTAAAAGATTTATGAGTTTGAGTTTAATGAAATTTTCAGCCTGATTAAAGCATGTGACTATGTGCTCTAACTTATGCTATGTTTGGCCTCCTCCTCTTTTTTTTCTTTTTTTTCTATTCTTTTGGGTGTCTGTCACAGGTTGTGGACTTGTTTTCTCCCCTCCCATCCTCTCCTCGAGGCTATTTCTACTTTGTGTAATCTTACTGGAGAGCTCTCTCTATATGTATTGTCTATATATGAGTAGCAAAAAGTTTAGGATCAGCCAAGCTTTATCTTGGATTTGGTTACTTGCTGTTGGAACTAAGTGCCAAGCATCCATGTGTTTTCTGAAGAAGCCATTTTATATAAATGGCAACATCTTGATGTTGCTTCTGAGCTCAATAATTTGTGTTTGTCGTGCTACGATGATAGGATCAATTGATTTTGGTGCTTCTTTTCGTATTGCAGTTGCAGGTACTTCTGCTCGTCCTCGCACATTTAAGAAGGTATTCTTCTTTAGCTTTTCTCAACTCCTTGTTTTGTATTTCATTACAAGCTTGCCTATGTATATCTAATCAATAGAAATGATGGCATTGGTGAGTCAGCACCCAGAAAATTGTGTTTTTGGTTCAATTGTCAAAAAGCTTTAGTGAGCATGATAGCAATGCCGCTTCAAAATGTTGCTTCTAACTTCAATGATAACCTGGTAAAAGATAGTGTTGCTACACCTTTTAAGTGTCCGAAACCAAGAAACTATGTTGATCGGAAACATAGGTGTTGTCCTATAAACTATGTCA